AAAGGAAAATGTGAGGTTAAATTGTACTTTTTTTACAACTTTAACAACGAATTACTTAAAAACTATAAGCCTCCGGAGGGGGGGGTTTCAGATTTAGAATCACAAAAAGCCGCTCTAAACCCCCTCATTTTTTTTTCAAAGCCTGGTCCATTATTGGAAAATTTTCCCCAATTTTTTAAATTTTTGTGTATTTTTCTAGCACTCAAAATCGAATTTTTTGTGACACATTTCTCGGCGCACTTGAAATCACAACAGTGATGAGCTAAGTTTTGTGACTCTGCTAGAATAGAGGGGTTAATTTAAGTATAAACTGGCACTGAAAAACTGGCCCTAAGAGATTTGATCGTCTATTTAATTAAAAAAAAAAATTATTCGCAATCGGAATGCAATCGCAACCAGAAACGATTTAAGAAACCCGACAGCTAATCCATAAGGGAATGGAAATGTATGTTAAAGAAAGAAAGAACAATAAAAAATATACATCTTTATCCTGTTTTTTGTCCATCTGAACGAATTTTAAAAGTTCTATAAAAATGTATTATGTTTGAAAGGCAACCGCCTTCAGCTGCAAGTTGAAGTTGCAAGTTTCTCAACATGGGAGAGAATTCGGGAGCATTTTTTCTTACTCTGTGGTATTTTGAGTGTTGGATAATTTTTGCTGGATTTTCGACGAGCAAACCTATTGTCTAGTGTAAACGCGCCGTTACCAATCCCAAAAATTACACACACCCACACAAAAAACACACATGCTCGTCATTTTCTGACATTTATCTTGTTACGCTTTACTTGCAGTTTTTGCCGTATGCTTTTAAACTTGTGCAAGGTGCGACAATTAGCTCGAAAAATCCAAATTTAATGAACATTCTTGTGGAAAAAATAAATGTAATGGCCAGCCAGTGATTTTAATTTTTCAACGGCCAAAAACTCGACTGTGTGGCAAGCGATATACATACGTTAGTGGGTGGCAAGATCATATTCCATAAAAAAATTCTCGTACTACGGTAGCGGCAAATGTATAGAACCTCAGAGAGAAAAAATAAGTAGACATAAAAGTTTTAAGCAAGTATATTCAGTCCAAATTACTGAAAATTGTAGAATACTCCTGAAAAAAACCCTTTCTGTTAGGTTTTTCCAAATTCGACTTAAGCAGTACCTTGTGTAATAAACCAAGAGGAGGAGGTGTGAGAAAACGTTGGTAAAAAAGTAATTGAAGTTAATACATATTTGAAATATCGGGCTGCGAAGGAAAAACAAAATTATTTATCTAGTAGCAAAATCACTTTGTGAAACTAATCATCTTAGAACAGAATCCTAAAGTGGTGAGATGTCGCAGCACGTGCAAGATGCCACTGTCTTTGAGCGACGGTTGCGGCCAATTTATGGTGAGTGTATGGGGACACGTGCATATTAGAGCATGTGCATGTATGCGTTAGCGGATACATGACTGGGATACAAGATACCAATGATTTTTTTCTTAAATGAATCTAGTTCTGAAGTTTAAAATTACGATTCATTTTACATTTCTAGATAGTCTGGAAGTTGGAAATAACCGCAAAGCTCTTCAAGAGACCGAAAAACTCCTTAAAAAACATCCAAATATGTGGTGTGCTCGTGCATTAAAGGCATTGGCTCTACTGCGTTTGGGTCGATATGATGAGAGTCAAGTCATGTTAAGAACTGTGAGTAGCGAGAAGCCGGTGGATGATCCAACACTACAAGTTCTATCTTTCTGCTACAAAGAATTGGAACAATGTAAGTGTTTCTTGCTTCGATGTTCTTGCACGCTCCTATCGTCTGTATTTGTATACTAGAAAGCTTAAATATCCGAATTTACATATATATGTATGTACATATATACTTGAACGACTACCCTGTAGGGAAATGAGTTGTACAAAGTTTGAATGTTTCAGGATTTAATTTTTAGATTGTCAAAATAAGATTAGCAGTAGGGTTATTTTCTTGTACACAATTTAAATTTGATGAAATATGGTGAAATAATTAAGTTTGCGTACTTCAGTATCGGCTTCGAGGGTGACGGTAACTAAAAAAAATCTTTTGATTCCGCCAATAATAATAATGTATATTATTTGATCGCATCTCTCAACTTTTTGTTGATGGAGTTAATCAATTTGTGCACTGAATGGCTCATATGTAAATGCTACTTTTTGTATCAACTCGTATGTAAAATATATTAGAACGTATCAGAAAAGTAGCATTTACATATGCAAACACATATCGTGTAAGAGCGTACTAAAGAAAAAAAAAGGCTGTTTAGTTGGCAATGAAAATAGTAAGAAGGTATGGTATAGACAAATTTAATGAACGGAGAGCAAATTTTAGAAAGATTTTTTGAGCTCATACTAAGATATTTTGGGTAAGGCTTCTAATTAAATCTTGCGATACTCAATTTTTGACCTAACCAGTCCACAAAGCAAAGTTTGAAGTGTGTAAGGTTTCGTAAACGTCTGACAGTTGCGGCGAATAAAAACTGATATCGAATGTGAGTGCGAAAGAATATAATCGACATGATTACAAAACAGAGTCCGGATATAATAAGATGTATGCAAAGTATTGATATATGAATGTTGAGCGATTGGCGACGAAACCGTGCTAGTTTGTAGCAATGAGGTTTTTAACGGTGAAAACCAGTTCACAATTTACAACATTTAGTTGCGGACATAATTTTTGTTCCCATTTTTACATTTTATTATCAGGAAAAACTACAAATTGAAACAAATATATTCGTTTTGCTTTACAATTTTTGGGAATATTTGTTTACATGGAATTCACGACAAGACCAAATATTACTGACTTTGTCATGCAGTGATCATTGATGACACTCAAGCAATTTTTTATAAGTGACCTTAAATATCTCGGACGTTGTTCGTCCATAGAGCTACATCTGCTATGTATGTATATATATACGATGTCACTAACGTCGCATTAGTAACGATGCCACCGGTGACCATTTTCGATAGCTGGCTTATGTTGGGGAAAGGTCTCCGAAAGGGTCGCCGAAAAGGTCTCGCTAAAGACTATTATTGTCTCTGGAAAGGTTTTGGCCTTAAAAATCGTTTTGATTCAAACTTTCACCAATTTTGGAAACACTATCGTTAGTTTTTTTTTTTTATACTATAAACCTAATAGTCTTAAAAAATTATCAGGACTTTATAAAAGAAGTGTTAGGATTTATTGAAAAACGTGTAAATGCTTACATTTTTAGATTTTTTTTTTGTATACTTTTCATGATCTAAATTAACTTATTTTGTATAGATACAAAAGTAAAAGGAGAAAAATATTTTTAATAACTGCGTTAATACATTTACGAATTGTGAGTCCTTCAATTAATATTAGCTCGTTCCCGAATTCCAAAAAGTTTTTTATAAACTCCCGTCAGTTTATGAGTTTATGGGAGTAATTTGGGATTTTTCGGCACTTTTGAAACACCATTCTGTTTGAAATAAATTAAATATTTTATAACATCCCGATTTGTTGGTAGCTTGTTGTATTTACAGCTGCGAAGCTCCTACAATAAAACTTGACACTTTCAACAAAATTAATTTTTAATATAAAATTAAAAAGTTTAAAAAACAAACGAAAACGACACTGAAGATAGCAAAACGCCAAAACCGATTTGCATCCAAACCAAATTTGATAAGGGATGACGAAAATTCGTTCTTGAGAAAACGGCCCTAAAAGACTAGGGATAGTATTTCCAAATTAGTGAAGGTATAAATCAAAACGGGTTTTAAAATTATAGTTCTGAGCGCGACCTTTTCGGCGACAAAAAAAAAGCTGCTTTTAACAGGTGCCTAAAAAAATGGAACACCCAAAGCTTTTTCTCTACTATTTTTCTTTCATACATATATGTATGGTTTTTCAGTGATAGTTTAATCTTAGATCATAAACTGCGTTTATCTTGAACAGCTGGCTGACATTTGATTGGTTAATCTTAGTTTAAACCAGCCAGCTCGAGTGATTAAACTAAGTTTAAACCACAGCCGTGCACTGAAAATCTGTCCTCCTGTGTATTAGTATAGCGGTATTCTCGATGCGTTGCATACTGTCTAGCATGGTGCATAGATAGCATAAATAGCATGATTGGATAATTTTGTTGTTATCCAATCGTCACTTGGATTCCCGTAAGGAAATAATGAAGTTGGTGCTATCAAAGTCTTGCTGAATTTTCATATTGCATTTCTACCTAAAACTAAGGAAACCATCCTTTGTGATTGTAGCACACAGCAATTAGTTGTCTGCGAAAATTTTGTGCACTCATTAAGTCTAAAATTTTGGCGTCCGCTTATGCACAAAAGCATGTGGGCGCATGTATACATATGTATGTACTCGTAGTAGTCGTTGCTGTGGCACACGCCAGCATAGCACCTAGATATAATTTATTAAAAACGTTTTAATATTCAGACACCAAGCATTATTATTTACAAGTATTTAATTGACACGTTATTTATAGAATTATTTTTAAAAGCGAACATTATCCTTTGCAGTGGACAAAATTGTATATTTGTACAATAATGCCGTAAAACAATCGCCCGGCAATGAGGAACTTCTGGCCCACCTCTTTATATCCCATGTACGTCTGGAGGATTTCAAATCGCAGCAATCGGTTGCGCTGCAACTGTATAAAGCACAGCCAAAGACCGCGTATTATTTTTGGGCCGTGATGAGCGTTGTTCTACAGGTACACAAAAATATTTTTTATGTGTATAAATATAGAATTCTGTGGCTTTTTCTTTTTAATTACATGCATACATATATGCTTATTTGCAGGGAATACGTGGCCCAGAAAGCAAGTTTCCTGAAAAAACCAAAATTTATTTAGCACTCGCGCAGCGCATGGTTGAAAAAATGATCAATGAAAACAAACTCGAGTCGGAACAAGAAGTTTTTCTTTATTTGCATATTTTAAAGTTACAAGCAAAGTTTAAAGAGGCATTGGAATTCCTTAACGGCGCGCTTTGTGAAAAATTGTATCCGGGAGCTCCCGTCTATATGAAAATTGATTTGCTAAAACAGTTAAAAATGTGGCAAGAGACAAATACGCTGCTTAAAGATTTATTGAATGATGAGTAAGTGAAGATAAAAATTGGAATATTTCGTAAATAACTCTATACAGATGTACATATCGCACATTTTCTGCAAGTATGCGGAAATGCCCGCTACCTGTTGTCGCATACTAATTCCCTAAGTGTTTTTGGGGAGTGTGGCTGGAGTGACAGTTTGTTCTTGGCCAGATTTAAATCTGGATCGTTCCGGTTACGTAGACCCGACTGTCGTGGGAACGCCCGTTACCTGTTCTACTAAGTTTTGTAAAAATTTCATAGCTAGACTGATTATAAATAGCTTATTAGAACAAAATACCCAATAAACATTAAGCTTGGTTAACAATTCGAAAATGATTTGATAACTAAAATTTGTTTTTAAGTCTCACCTTCCATAACGAATTTGGAAATGGTTAGTATTCGATCCGAGAACTAGGTCATTCTTCAGCAAAAGGGAACCTTCGCTATCGAATGCATTTTCCCTTCGTTATTAATTCGAAATCCAGCCCATTGAAATTTTAATGAGGAGAGTGATTGTCTTATTACCCCTTCGAAAATGAGCTGGATTTCACTTTCTATCTTTTTACTATGGATCTCATTTTTTTCGACCCATTTCGAGTGTATTTGCAATATACTATAAACGCTGGAAAACTTAAGGTTAGTTATGAGTTCGTTGTCATTTCGATATTCATATTGGATATCGAAGGCCATTTTCGAACGTTCACCACATGTTTATTGGGTATGTATTCACTTTTACTACATATTCAAAACTTAAAAGCCGTTTTTCTCGAGTTTCTGATTTTTT